AAATGAACTATTTTAAAAAATCCATTGATATCATAACTATAAATAAAAAAATACTCTACTTATTTATTTTCACTTGTTTTTCTGTAATATTTATTTAAATATAAAGGCACACTAATCGGGACAGGCACACTAATAGGGACAGTTACCCTATTACATATATATATTTTTTTTAATAATAAACATGTATTATTCTTTCTGCATAGTTTATATACAGATATTATAATTTAGAAAAGAAGTATATACAAAAATAGACTACTTATATATTGAAAAATTGATCATCCAGTAGCATCAATTGAAATAATAATTCGTGATTCTTTTAAAATCAATTATTGGCTGCTTTTAACATAATGTTCACATTTTTTTCGTACTTTAGATAAGATTTAAGATTAAATAATTTATTTGGATTATTATATTTCAGAGATTTGTTAAAGATCACAGTGTTATTACATATCATGTTATATTGCAGGGCAATTATTGTGGTCCAGCAAGGAATGACACCATCCGCCAAGCAGTCCCTAGTGGACATGGCACCAAAATACGTACTAGAACAGTTCTTGGAGTCCGAATTATTGATCAATATTACAGAGCACGAGCTAGTACCGGAGCATATAGTTCTCACTCAGGAAGAGAAGGAGGAGCTGTTGGCAAAGTACAAACTGAAGGAGAATCAATTGATGAGGATACAAGCCGGCGACCCGGTGGCTCGTTATTTCGGTTTGAAACGCGGACAGGTTGTCAAGATTATCAGGCCGTCAGAGACCGCAGGGAGATACATATCTTATAGACTGGTCTGTTGAAGACAGGAAATGTCACGAGGATCTAAACAAAACAGCAGTTTGCAATATGTTTGTTTATTGTACCTGTGTATTTTTTTTTTTTTTTTATAACTGCGCACTTGTATTGTACATACCGTCATGCTAACAGTAACTAAAATTTCTTGGTTCACACTTGCAGATATGCCGCCTCGTAGATTTTTTTTTCACCCTTCTGACAAATTTCCAATATCTTAATGCACTTATACACAGCGATTTATATGCGTATATCGCTTGCACAATTCATCAACTCACACTTATAGTCGATATCAAGATACATTTAAGTTTATCGTGAAACAACGATCCGTACAAAAGACACGGCGACTCGCGAGTCGGTCTGATCTCGCAATCGCCTGGCTTGGCTAATACTTATAATTCGTTATATCCTGTATTGTTTATTATCGTAGGTTGCTTGGTCCAAAAAGTATCGCGCGCTATATCGTGGTGTATTACCTTGAAGTGAGGAAATATCGATAGGAATTATCAATCAAACGTATCAGCAGCAGCAACTTGTTTTTTTTTTTCTCGGAACTGTTCGAAGTTTCGAATAACTCATCGATTAAACAGAGAGATCGCGTTGAATTATTTCACCGAGATGATTCACTGCATTAATAGCGGATATATATATATATATATATATATATATATTTCTTTCGGATTTAAATGTACGATTTGGTCGTAAAACACCGTTGAATCTCGTCATGTTTTATACAATCTTTTTTTCTCTCGTAGTTGTTCTTTTAATAAATAATTTCCCATATGATATACATATATTGCACGAGAATCGAAACGATATATGATATAATAATGATAATGTGAACGCGTCTCGGTTCACTAATGTGCAATTACTTATTCAATCGAATATTTTTACGCAAACGAACATTTCGATCAAAATGAATACAAGCGAGAATCTTACGTCACGTAAGATAATTTTTGTTTAGATTATAGTCCTTATAGTGCTTGGACTTTTGAAAAAGTTGACTCTCGGAGAAGTCTGTTTTCCTCCCTCTCCCCCTCTCCCCCCCAAATATTGTAAATTCTACTACAAAATTGCGTTTCTATTAAATTGAAGTCTAACATTTATCCTAGTGTCTTGATTCTAATCGTAAGTAAAACAGAAAGAAAAAGAGAGAACTCTGTCGAGTATCGTTATCGTTAAAAGCCGACGGAAAACGCTTATAGGGATATTGAACCGCGTAGTTTTTCGCGCTTCCTTCCAGAAAATTTATCGCGGTCGGTCTGATAAAAGCTAAAAGCGTATGGCAGGAAGTCTCCCGAATGGCACACTCGCCGGCGTGTGTGTGTAATGAGCAAGCAGACTCGGCCAGTCGACTTGTTACGCTCGTTAGGAGATAAAGCCGCTATAACTGGGGCGGTTATCTCGCGATTTGCGACGCTGCTGTCCAAAGAAGAGTCGTTTACCGCGTTTGGGCACATATAAATAAACAAAAAAGCACACACACATATAACACACTCGCGGCCATATATAATTAATATAATATATTGTTATCAATAAAATGTAACATAACGCATTAATAGTCATAATAATAATAATATAACCATAAAAGATAATATTAATATAATTACACAATAATGCTACGAACTCTCTCTCTCTCTCTCTCTCTCTCTCTCTCTTTTGTGTTCGGCGCAGCAATGAAGAAAGAGTAGAGTCGATAAAAGGAAAGTGTGTAGAAAAAAAAAAAAAAGAGAAAAAAAGAGAAAAAGAAACAAAAATATACATATTTAATTACTCTCAAATGCGATTTCTCGGTTAAATCCCGGGAAAATCGCACGAGAGAGATCCTTAGATCCTTACATATCCATAGACAGTTAGATAATTCTTAGATAAAAAGGATCGTTACACTTGTTAAAATTCTATAAATGCTTGAATCGTTTAGATCCGCTTAGGCATTCTTTAGGCGTCCCCTCCTCAGATCCCTAGACATCCGGAAACAACTTTCATCAGATCTCGTAATTAATCTTTTTTAATCGAAGTCCTCGGATCTCTTTCGGATAACTGGTATAAGACGTACGTTCGGATCGTACTTAAATCCTAAAATGTCGGTATTCCCAAATGTTTCGATGTAGCGTCGATGATGTTTTGTCTGTTCTTCCTTCTCTTCTCTCGTGTAAATACATGCGACATTTAATAACTCTTCTTTCGATAAATCGAAATTTGACATTGCATATACGGAATAATCTGTGGTATTGGATTTTTAATCGTGCGCGTTTTTTTACTCAGAAGACTTTTCGGCGAGACCACCAATACACTTTGGCGGCGAATTCGATCGGTGATGCTTGTAAAATATTGTTTATCAAATCCGCAGCAACTCGGATCGTGTAGATGATAGTGGTGGGATAGAATGGCCGCTGTTCCCAACAACGACCTCTGTGCGTTCGGTCTGATGAGACCTGAAATTTAATATCAAATAATTTTATTATTTTTAAAAATTTACAAAAAAATTGTACATACATAAATGTCAATAACAAAGAAAAAATATATATGTAACCGCATGATAAATAAAGTTACCTAGGAGTGGTATGGCGTAACGTAAGTAGACGGAAAGAGTCCTCGTCTGTTGCCGATTTCTCCGTGCCACCAGTGCTGATCTGTGCGGTCTGTGACAGTAATGACGTCTCCTCGTCGGAATTCCAGTTCACCAGGCTCCTGCGGCGCAAAGTCGTACAAGGCTTGCACCAGACACTGAAAATCGGTATTTACGATAAAATTGATCTTTACGATAGTAAGACCAATTTACGTTATTTCTGACGGATTCACATATTTTAGATGTTCTGCGAAAAGAAGAAAAAATAAATTTTGCTCATCAAGTTCTTACTTCCTCTGGGACCATGTCGCGTAGTTTAACATCTTGCGAGCGGGATACAGATGCTGTGCGATGATACTCGACTAATTCGTTGAGGCTGTTGAATTTAACAACCCATAAGAAGAACTTGCCTTGTGCGTCTCTTAAAACTTTGAAGTGTTGTACGCCGTCAGAGCATCTATAAGTTATTTGTTTTGTATTATTTACTGATGAGTCTCTATTATTAAGTCTGTCCCCCTGATTCACAGGCAATAAAAACCGACTTACTTTACAGATAAGGAAAAATCCCCAGGAGAGCTTTCACTGATTCTAATCAGAAAGGCACCTTCATGTTTGTTCAGCAATAATCTTTCCGCGTCTGCTCTCGTTATCCTTCCGTAGTACCAACTACAACAGACAAGACATAAAAAAATAAACTAGAGAAAAGAGAATCTTGTACTCATTGAGTATGCCTGCATGAGTTTGCGCACAAAGAATACTTGAAGAGGGAAAAAAGATATCATATAAAATATTGCAGGCCTCCTTCTTTTTAGACAGACAAAAAATTTGACTTTTTTTTTCTGAATTCTGTGATTCACAGATACAGAGAGATATATATGTATAGTATTTTTACTACATACTCATGGCTTTTCATCTCAATGTAATTACTTGGTATGAGCCCCTCTCTGGAATCCAGTTCAGCTCTATACCAGTTCATATCGTCTTCCATGTTCAGAATCTGCAAGTATTGTACATATTGTTGAACACATATAGATATAATAGAAAAAACTTATAAACTTAACATATCACAAGTTACCGTGATCTACTTACAAATTGATAAAACTATTTTATATATTTTACTCGTTACACATAGCACATAGACTATTTCCTAGCTTTTGGTACATATGTAAAACCCAGAAACTATATACATAGCTATATATATAAAAATAATGTTTATTTGTGCCTAAAACGCACAGTGAATTTAATTTAGACAAAGTCAAAATGTATTCTTTTTTTCACATATAAAAGTGGAGCAACTTCTAAGCGGTAGAAAGTGACAAGCAGAAGTTTATTGTAACATGATCATTAATGTAATATTATTATAATATTATTGTTTTGCGCGCAATAAAACAATATATTTATCGCGAGCAATAACATTTACATCTCACGCGAGCATTTTGCGTCAAACGCAACAGCTTTTCGAAGCAGAAGGGAACTGGATCAGAGCCATCCGTGTGTATCTCTCTCGAGTGGTGCGCGCATACATGTATCGGTGATAACAACAACTCGATTCTAGATCAGAGTTGAACAAAACTCGCAAAAGCGCGCAGAACGAGAGAGAGACAGACGAACGGATAGAAGTTTCGGGAGGATGTTCGGAGGTCTCGTGACCGCCGCGACGCGACGCGGCGCGCCTCACCGTTGGCTGACCGTCCAAGCTTTGGCCGTGCCAAAGGCCAGGTGAGAGACCGACCGACAAAAGCTCTCGTTTTACCAACCTTGAGGACCTGACTCCTGCGAAAGCTGAGCTCGTCCTCGGCGGTCGCCGTGAAATCGTGCTTCGCAATCGCCTCCATTCTTTCGCCCGAGACGATGGAGTCGACGACAGGAGGACGACAAGCCGCTGCTGCGCTGCTTGCTACTGGAGGAAGCGAGAGGGCGCTTGTTGTAGAGAGACCGTGTACGAGACAGACGCAGAAGCGGTGTGCTACGTCCCTACGGTGCGAGGGGAGAGGTGCACTGGAGGAGGCGAGGAAGGAAAAGAGAGAAAGAGAGAGACGGAGACGGAGACAGACAGAAAAGGAAAGAAACGATGATCCGAGCAACGCGCAAAGTGTATTTATCTTATGAATAGTACGACCAAGACGAAGCTATAAACTCGTCGGAGCAAGTGGCGGTATGACGTTCCTCGGGTGGAGAAGCGAATGCGTCATGGGAGAGAAAGAGAGCGCGAAAAAAACCCGTGCACACACAAAGCGCATGAAGAGCAGCAACGAGACACCGCGTACGCGCGTACGTACGTACGGATTGTAAAGAGCGCGAGACACAACGCGCACTATCTTGTTAAAAAAAAAAAAAAAAAAAGATGCGCGCGAAAAGAAAAAGCGGACGAACGAAAGACACGCCGCTAAGGAACCAAGAAATGCTTTGCTGCGGTTGTGCGCTCGAGTAGGTTTTTTTCTGTCGCCGCCACCGCCGCCGCTTTTGTTCGGGACACAGGCGGGGTTTCGAGGAATAAAAAGGACACTTTCCTTGCGCGTACGATGTGCGTGTGCGTGTGCGCGCGCGTTCGTGTGTGTCTGTCTGTGTGTATACAATACGACTCCGCTAAAACGAGCACCCGCACGCACACGTCGTCGAACGTTGTTGTTCTCTCAGCGAACGATTCTCCGTGCTAAGGCTCTCGGCATCGTATTTTCGTCACAGGCGAGATCGCCGCGTATCTTTCAACAAGTCGCGAGCTGTCAAAGGCAAGCGCGCGCACTATCGCTCGTTTTATCGGACACAACGCGTTCGGCTCGGCTCGACGTCGATCGGGGCCCTGCTCCCGATGTCGTTCGGCGCCGCTCGGTGTTTCTCGCCGTTCGATGCGCGACTGACCGCCGCGCATCGCGCGCCATGATGGAAACACGTACAAGATGCACGACGGCGCGGCGGCAAGAACGTTAATGAGAGGGACGTCGTGCCAAATAAAACCGGCGGCTTTGGAAATTTCTTAAACGCTTACGTCAATCCGCCTCCCATCGCGACGTCAGAAGCGGAACTCGCAGACGAAAGAAATCGCAAAGATATGACGCGCGCGAATAGTTTCTCGGAACTCGTCAGGTCAGGTACATAATTTCAAATCGCAGAAACTTGATTTCTCATGCGTTTGTACGTGTACGAAGGAAACAATTTTCTCGTATCGTTCGCGTCATGTTGCGTAAGAACAATTGATACGTAAGAAGATTGTCTCGACTTGCCGGAAAAAAAACACTACCTCTCTTTTTTTTTATAGACATATTTTTTTAATTTTTTTGTTTGCATATTTTACGTTATGATCGTTATACACATATATGTATGTAATATGTAATTTTATATATTTGTGTAATGTGAGGTTTTACTTTTGTCAATTTTTGAAAAAATTAATAGCTCGAAAGACGCACGTCTGTTTTTTATTTAATTAAGTAACACGATCTTTTTCCAAATGATATTGTAGGTTTCCTGTCGAGATGTGAACAAATTAAATGGGAGAATCGGAAGGTGCTGCCCTCGCATCCTCGGTCGTATACTCGCGATCGGTAAAGCAGAGCAAGACAATCTTGCGTGATGTGACAATGAACAGGTCTGTGTGTGATTCTAATGCGGCACGAAACGCGCGACGTAGTACGAAAATAAACAGAACACCTCGTGTTTACGGAAGTCCGTAACAGGTGTTTTTCACCCCTCCTCTCGCTCTTCGCTTTACTTCCTCCCCCGCTCTTTGCTCCGGCAGCCTCCTCGACTCTCCGTCGGCGAGAGAGAGATATATTGTGTTTATATATATATGTATATGGCACATGTAGAGGGAAGGGAAAAACAGAAATGCAAGCAAACCTTGTCGGTTTGCTTACGTAGGCCACTCGTCTCGCGTTCTTCGTGCAAACTCGTCAGTCCGTTTCGGTCACGGATGTTTGAGTCCTTGAGGACGCCGAGCGAGAACCTCCTTTTTGAAAATCGAAAACTTTTGAACGATTTTCGAACGCCCCGAAATGGCAAACGGTTCGGGCGAACAAAGCAACGAGAACTCGCGAATTTCTTTTTTATGAGTTTCAGATCGCAAACAACACAAACGCGTTTTACTTTAGCTTGTAAAGAATATTAAATAATATAAGAATAATAATAATATAAGAATATTAAATAATATAATAATAATAATAATATAAGAATATTAAATAATATATATAGTAATATAACGATAATATTCTCAGTCTATATAAAGAATTTTGTACCTTACGATGAGCAATTCGTTCCCGATAAGAAAAATTGTTCGTATGTAGGTTCTTCTTTATATAGAAAAATTCCTTTGTGAATCTTGCAGAAGTGGGAAAAAAAACCAATGGACTAAATTTAACTGAATCTGTTTTTAATCGTGGGATGAAATGGGGACGAGGAGGGAGAAGAGAGGGAAGAGAGACTTGGCTTTAAATTGACAAGAAGTACCTTTTTTTAAATGGAGGATATTGCCAGGTGCAAGTGCTTTAAAGTTATTCCGCAATAAAAAGATCGTAAAACATAGGGAGGAGAAAACGTCCTACGTGAGACTTTCCTAAGCGCACCTGCACACAGGTAGAAGCCAGGTGCAGCTGCAATATAACCTTGTAAAAGTTTAACCAAGGAATACTTGTGCGCCGCGCTACCAAGAGTTAAACGTCCGAGTTTTTGACTAAAATTGAACAAAAAACAAAAATCCGCACGTCTTTCCATTAATCTGCTTTAAATTTTCCTTCAAAACTGAACGAACATAATAATTTAATTAAACATATTTGAAGTAGATTGCGTGTTAATTTCTTTTGTTTTTTTCAGCATTCTATTTATCATCGGCTTCGAATCTCGCTTCGGATCTGCGTGAGTAAAAGTTCAACGCAGTCGTAAAATTCGTCAAGTTGCTTATTCAAGGATGTTACATCGCGCGCGCGCGCGAGGGAATGGAGTTGTGAATAATTCAGCGATCGCGACATCGACGACGACGACGACGGCGACGACGACGACGACAACAGCAGCAACGATTCGATGAATCGGCAAATCGCCGACGGGTCCGCAAACATGCATATGCGTGTCGGAGTCAAAGGACAAAGATTGCGTTGCGCGCTCGATCGGCCGGGGGATGTCGTACAGTTTGCGCTAATGAACCAGCACAAGCCTTTGTGCTGCTTTTATTCTCTTACGTCATCAAATCCAGCGGCGCCGCCGCGACCTGGCCGCGTTCTCTCTCAGGCCTTCGTCGTCGGACGCACGTAGGACGACGAGGTTCTGTACGCGAGGCGCAACCGACCTCTCGCGGACCGTTCTGGAAACGCGCCAGCGTTAAGGTACGTGTTTTTCCCCTCCCGTATTTCCAGGCGTTCCGAGAGAGAGCTGACGCAAATGTACAAGGCGCGGCATTCTCCGACGAAAAATCTCGCAATGTTAAATTCTTGCTAATCTTGCAGTATTAATTTCGCTTCCGAAAAACAAACGTGTTCCCGGTAAGGGAACGGTTTTTTTTTTCGGATTGCGCAAGAGAGCGGAGAAACGAAGAGTATCTTCTCGAAGAGTGCCACGACACTGTGAAGTAAAGCGTATATAACTTGTGTGTATGTTATCTCTCTCGCGTTGTTCGCGCGAACAAATGTTTAGAAGAAGATTATCATTATCTTTTCTGCGGGAGAGAACGCGCGCGCGAATAGAGATAGAGCGATTCTTTCTTTCGCTTTCTTGCGTTTGAATGAACACATTTGTACATGGTTTGCGACGCGTTCTCTTTATCGCGCGCAATGATTTTTATTAACGTTCTATTAACTTTGACCTCGATTTTAAAACTCGTTTTGCATTTATCTATACCGCGGCAAGGATTGTTCTTCTCTAACTAGAGAAGTCGCTGATAGTTTCGCAAACGGGGAAGACAACACGACAACTCCGCGTAATTCGCCACTTAAAGTTGAGTGACCTTGATGAAAAAGTATCCGTAAAATGAACAACGTCAGTTCGCGAATTTAATTTGCGAATTTTTCTCTTCCTGATCCGGGTAAGTGCTTACGGTATTGGGGAGAAGATCTCGTTGAGAATCTTCGCGTATATACGTATGCTGCTGTGAGAAGCATATAAAACTTGGCGGTTATAACGCAACTACACCACGAGTTGCGTGACTTGCGGCACATCGTGACGGAGCAAACTCTCGCTGTATGATACGCATGCACGTTGCGTGAAACCGTGTTAGCGCGCACGCATCATTTAAATCGTCAGTGGCGGTTGGTTTTTTGTTTCTCATTCGAGAGACACACACGGGAGACGGCAAATCAAACAGCATATTCTCTTTCTACATAAGAGAAATACAACGGTTCGACAATTGGCGATTAAAACGGAAGATATAAAAATTTTAGTGACGAAGAGAGCGGCATAATACAAAGTATTGATAAGCCAGAAAAATTCAACGATTCTCTCTCCCTCTCTCTCGCATGTTTAATACATAAAAGTTATATAATATTATAAAGGTTATATAATATTATTTAACCTTCCTTAAATAATAAATTTTCTTATCAGAACGATTACAAGTTATTTTAATTTCTAATGACTCTTTTAAAACATAAGGCTATTGTAATATTTATCAAGCTTTGTAATCAAACATCTAAAGCGAGTTTAACGTCGTTTTATTTTTCCCTCGCTTGGATCGTCACATTTGACCTTATTTCCAATTTAAATTTCACGAACCACAAAATCCGACACCTGAATCGAAGAAGGTTTAAATCGGTCGTCGAGTAATTAAAGATGTCACAGTTCCGTTTTAGGTTTCAGACTAACGTAGAAGCAATCGAAATTAGAAGCGCACGTACAAATATATATATATGTATATATATATATATATGTATATATATATATACATATATATATATATATACGTTCGCGACCGATGCTCGGTTCTAATAAGAAATCCGCAAAAAATACACAAGTAAAAATACACGTGTTACGCGGTCAAATAGTTACGTGTCAAGATCTAATTGCCTGATTGAAACGCGACGATCTAATTCGAGTGCATTTTCAGGTGCGACATATAATTGCTGCGAAGAATAAAAGAAACTCGTAACAGTAATAAACGTTTATTACGCCAATACAAAAACTGATATCGAGCAGAAGGAAGTTCATTCGAATGATGATAATCAACGTTAAAACGCAACGTTTAACGAACAAATCACGAAGATAAGTAATACAAAAAATAAAAAAGTAAAATGTAAATGTAACAATCACGCGCTTGCTCTAAAGAATTCTCTGTCGACAGGAAACTCGAGCATCTCTTAGCTATCCGAGAATTCGATTCTTCGGCCTGGATTTAATCAACAGGATCTGCGCGGCGAAGATCCGCATCTGCCGTCGATCCACTTACGTGTGTATTTCGCCGCGTTTCGCCCGATCGCCGCTGCAAAACGTGATCTCTCTCTCTCCTTCTCTCTCCTTCAATCGTCTGAAAACAAGGGGAGCGCGAGTGGGTGAACAGCACTGACCCAGTTGATAGAACCGTGAACGATAGAGACCCGCGTTGTAGTCGGAAGTAGACAGCAAGGGGGGAAGAGGAGAAAGCCGAGGGGGGGAGGTGGGGTGGGTGCCGAGTGCCGCACGTAACACGGCGGTGACTCATTCTCCCGCGTGTGCGACGGCACGTCGATCTTCTCACCCTCCGCGCGCCTCCGCTATTTCTTCCCCCCCTTCCGCCACCTTTCCCGCAACATTTCACGGCGGCGCGTGTGTGTAACGCGCCGCGCTCCGTGCACACGTGACATTTCGACTATATCTCGAATTAAAGCGTAAACACATCGTA